TGTGGCTAATTTAAACATAATTGGTCCTCTTTATATGTCTCCCCCCCCCCAAGCAGGTATCCATGGTGATATAATAAGTGTGCAAAATGTTCTGAGGTAATGTAGCCAAATGTGCTAGCTTCTCTGCATGGAGTTTGCAATTTTAACATCCCAGGGAGTTGGTGGCTCCCTTCTGTTTGGATATTTTGAGGAAGAGACTAGGCAGCAATCTGTTTGGGATGATTTAATCTGGATTCCCAATAGCAAGTAAAGGGTTGAGCTCAGGGATCCAAATGATATTTTTCAATTCCAAGTTTCTAAGAGTTCTTTGTCAGCTTTGGACCTGTTCATTCTTATGATGTCAGTTTTCAGGGAATTGTATTAATTTAATCATGCTTTACTGGGGTGTATTTGAAAACCCAACAAAGAAGGGCTTCGTTTTTGAAATGTGGTAATTTCACAGAGCTAGTGAGTAGCCTATTCTTGCCTCAGGGAGTTTCTCAGCTTTTATCCTCCCCCTCCCATCTTTCAGAAGTTCAGCTCCCATTTTGTTGTTTTCAGCCTTTTAAGACAGAAATAAAGAGAACGGGTTAGCTACAAATTTCTTGTGAAGGACTGGTGAGCAGAAAGAGCTGAGGTATCTTTTATATGCATTTATATAGCTGAATATTTTAATCCATTCAAATATTTCCCACCAAATATATATAATATATATCTTAACAGCAGGGGGAATAATACAGCAAAATGAACTCTATATCATACTTGATAATAAACAGTCTGCTCAAGAAGAGAAGCTGTTCCAACCAAAACAAAGCTCTAACAACCGGTGAATTTTTAATAATAATGACTTTTATGAATCAGGATAACAATAGGCAATAAGATATAGATTAAAGTTTCAGGTGGTGCGAGAGACTTCTGCTTTAAACTTAAGAGAACCATTGCCAGTCACACAGTTCTGGACTATATGAATAGGGGTGACCTGATAGCAGTGTTCCAATATCTCAGGGATTGTTATAAAGAAGAGGGAGTCAAGCTATTCTCCAGAGCACCTGAAGTCAGGATAAGAAGCAATGGATGGAAACTAACCAAGGAGAGAAGCAACCTATAACTAAGGATAAACTTCCTGACAGTTAGAGCAATTAATCAGTGGAACAAGTTGCCTTCAGAAGTTATGGATGCTCCAAGGCTGGAACTTTTTAAGAAGAGATTGGATAACCATTTGTCTGAAATGGTATAGGGTTTCCTGCCTGAGCAGGGGGCTGGACTAGAAGACCTTCAAGGTCTGTTATTCTAAAGAGGTCAACCCAACATAAGGCAGATTTCCCATAGTCCCATATGGTTATAGAATATAAAAATCTCTAGGGTTCTCATTAGAACTTAACCAAAAGGTAATATTTACTTCACTAGGGTTCACTCCCTCCTAATAACTCATGAAAGAAATAATAGGGAAAACAGTGGATGGATACCAAAGTAAATTTTTCGGGTGTCTATCTCCTGAAGCAAATTTCTCTGACCTGGAAGCTTCTTGATTTGTGAAACTGCAGCTTCCAACAGTATTCAGATAGTAGGGCTGCAGGCTGAAGAGGGCTATTTTAAAGCTTCACAGATATTGAAGTTCTACTTTTGAGATCTTAGGAAATTTATTTCCAACTTACTCCAATCAACTGAAAATGTGCGCTCTATCGATGAAAATGGGGGCCCTAAAGAGGAGCCTACGGAATAAGGCTGGGGGGAAAAAGTACAAAAGAATAAATCAATATTGCCCAGGTGCCAGCATAATCTTCCCCATTCTGATCTTACCTCGGATTTCAAGTCTCATAAATCTCATCATTCATCATGATAGCTGGAGTTGATCGGAGCTGATGTCTAACAAACCTGGAGGGCACAGTCTAGAGAAGGCTGTAGTAAGCAAAGATAAGCAGAGTTTCTTCTGCTACATTATTGAGAAGGTCTATGTATTGTGGCTGCTTGTTTTCTTCCCTTCTTGCTTGAAAACCAGAACTTTAAATAATATCCATGGGCAGCTGAATCATAAATTACTAGCATATTCCATTAGCCTCATCTTCTCGGGTATTATAAATTAGGTGACACAAAAGTATTGTTGCCAGTAAAGTATATTGGTAATGTGTTACATTTATTGCTTTAAAACCACTGTCCATGAAATTAGTAATTCAGCTGATACTTCACTCTGAATGTAGTTGGATTAAAATAATGGTGACATGAGCACTATAGATATGTAATTTAAACTTGGAAAACAAGTTGTTTGCCCAGAAAGCCTTGGATTTGAGATGAGAGGTAATGAGCTAAACCAGGGGTAGGCAACCTTGACTCTGAGCTATGCTGGTTCAGGAATTCTGGGAGTTGAAGTCCATGAGTCATAAAAGAGTCAAGGTTGCCTACCCTGAGCTAAACAGAGGGGATTATGCTCCTTTCTCACCAAACATAAAAGTTTTTGCTAGTAAGAGGCAGGTTCATTCTGAAGCCATGTAAACCAGATGAGTCAGGCTGGTAGGCTAGTCTGGAATTCTACATTGGAGAATTCTACCCCTAACTGGAATCCTGCATCAGGGCTGTTAGAGCAGCTGAGAGTTACAACCCTTTTACTCTTCTTGTTCATTTGTATTTTTTTATTGTGTTGTACTCAGGCCCTTTAGCTTGCCCTAGCTATAAAACAATAAACTAATTTTGGACTATGAGACAACATTGGAATGGTATGTCTTAAGCTGCTTGTGAGATTTAAAGAGATAATGTATTCATCTCAAGAGAACAATTCAGGATCCATTATGCTAACTTTAATTTCACACCCAAGGCAATTTGGGCCTGAGATATGATATAATATATATATATGTGTGAATCTTGTCTTGCCTTTTCTGATACCCCAGCATCCAGGTTAGGGCTGGATGGATTCTGACCCTTAATAAAATTAAATAAAGGAGTTTTATAAATGGGATATCTGAATGCAAATAAATGCAGCTTAATAAAATCTCAAGTTTTACATGTTCTTGTTTTCTAAACAGGATACAAGAGAGAGAACATAAAAAGGCAGCCGTTTTCTGGGCCTTCAATAATCTTTTAAGTCCTCATTTCATGCTGCTTTTGTGCTCGTCACAATGCTGTCATTTATTCTGACATCCCAAGAATCAGGAGGAGGGATCAAACCTCTCTTCAGCTCAGGACTGTGTCCAGTCAGAAGCCTCTGCTGAAAGAGAACTGCAGAAGATGCTATACTTAATGCATAGCTGGTTATCAGAGAGAAAGGCAGTGCACAATGACACTCTAGGGTCATTCTCACTTTTAAGATGCCCTTCCATGAATAGCATCTCAATATGTTGTTATATGAACTTTATTGCCTCAACCAGAGTGGCGTCTTTCCACTCTCACCCATCCCCAAGCAGCAAGGGATGTAAATCATGACGTGGACTCCAAAGACTCCATGTTTATATGCAAGCAGAATGCATATGAGACTAGCCATGGTGAAATGATGGTGGTTGGATTACCTTGGCTCCTCCTCTTGCAGAGCAGCTGCTTTATTTCCATTATTCTCAAGCCAAATCCTAAAATGGTTAGAAATAGGAGTGCAGCAATTGTCTACCATGTTAGGCATATGCTAGTCAGGGATCCTCCCTATTGAGCAGCAAAATGGGTTTCCTTTAGATGACATGCAAAAAATGCTCCTCTGCAGGCAAGATATAAGGGACAAGGTTCCCAAGGGTTCAAAGCAGGTGTATTGGATTTGCTTGGTTTTAACTTGAGCATGCAAAAATAAATCACAATGCTGTACATTTGACTGGATTTGGGTGCCAAATTCGAAATGCATCATCATCATCATCATCACAATCATTCAATCGTGAATAAATTCTCTTGGGATGTCCTCCCTGCTCAAGTCCCCTTGCAATGACTAAGACCTGAAAGAAATGTTCTATTCAGTTCATCTTGCCAGCTTGCATGGCATAACATCTAGCAAGGTTATATCCTATATATGACAAACTGCTGCCCTTATGGCATATCTGCAATTTGCCACCTTGCCTTTGGTTTGTCTCAGCTGTCTCTAGCTTTGCCTCCTTTGTGTGTCAGGCAGGTGGAATCGAAAACAGAAAGATCTCAAGGTCAGGGGGGGGGGAAAAGGACCTTTTTTTCTTTCCATTTGGATTTTCATAAAACTGGCAGGTAAAGGAAGCAGTGCTGGGCTGCTCCATTGCCTTTGTGCTTCGTAGCAAAGACCATAACCCTGGGTTTCCTATCTGGCAAAGCAGATAGGCTTTGGGTTGCAAAGCAGCTCAGTTGAAAGGCTCTGGAGAGGACTGGACTGCATTGGATGGAAAGAAGCGACAAGCTGTGTCATACCTATGGACAGAGCCAGGACATCCTTTTTCGGTTGTTGTTGCTTTCGCTCAGGTTTGTTTCCTCCCCCCCCCCCTTTTTTTTTTCTTTACTCTTTCAAAAACAACGTGGAGCGTTTCTTAACCTTACACCTAAATCGGGAGAGAGTTGCAATACAGCGCTACAATCAGACGGCGCTCCGGGCGATGTAAGAAAGGGGTTAGAGGCTGCAAGATGGCCCCTGTGCTCCACGCTGCCCACTCCTGCGCCAAACCTTGCAGTCCTTTTCCCGCCGAGGATGACCGATCTATAGCCTCGAGGGGGGGGAGGGGGGGAGTACTGTATCCAGCGATACAGTCGTTCACATCATTACTTATCTAGACCAGTCAACGGGACAAGTTTTTGCTGCTTCGGGCAACTACAGCCAAAGAGACTTCTAGGAATCAATAACTAATAAACTATTTTCTACCTTACGGGGGTGGGAGGGGGGGGGGAAGAAGACGCGCGATCAAACCCTCCAAACTCCTGAACGGTTCTCTCCAAGCGCTCTTTTGCCTTCTTTTTTTTCTCCCCCTGCCTTTCTGCACAAACGTTCCCGGGCTCCCCCTATCGGCCGCCGCACTCATTTCACGAAGAGGAGGAAGGCAGAGGAGGAGAGAAAAGCCGGCTCCCCCTCTGGCGAGAGAGAAAAACGACCGAGCGCCAGAGCAAGCCAGCGAGGGAGCAGGCAGGCGGGCGGGCGGGCGGGCTGGCAGGCGAGCGAGTGGAGTTGCCTGCGAGGAGGTCGGCGGGCGTTTTCCTCCACCTTCGCTTCGTTTCCTCTACGCGCAGCAGAAGCAGCAGCAACAGCAGGTTGCAGCCAGGCACCAACGCCTCGCCTCGCCTCGTCCGCCTGGTGCACCGGGAGACCCCGGCGTGGAGGCAGCAGTCGCCCTGCCACTGTGCCCTTTTTGTTTTTTTTTTCCGGCCGTCCGCTTGCAACTCCTTGCCGCCGCCGTGGCCAGCACAAGCGACGTCCCTCTTCCCGGTCACTTCACGCCGCGCCTCTCTCGCAGCTTTTCTTTCTCGGTCTGTGTCGAGTCGGCCAGCCCGGATCGGCTGCCCCTTCCGAGAAGTCTGGGAGCTCCGGCTCCCCCGCTGCTCTTCCCCATGGGGATCCGCGAGTTTCCCAGCGGCACGGCCAGGGGCAAGAGCATGGCGATGTGAGTGCCGGCGACCGCGGGAGAAGGTCGGGGGGAGATGGGTGGCGGCGCGGAGGAGCGGGAAAGGTCTCCGCTCCGCTTCGGGCGCTCAGCTCCCTTCTCCGCTGCCTCCGCCAGGGAGTCGCGGCGGGATCGGGCCGGAGCGCCAGGCGGGGCCGGCGGGAGCAAAGTTGCTCTTCTCCCGGTCCTCGCTTTCTGGGTGCCGAGGACAACGGGGAGGAGGAGGAGGGGAGGGAGGGAGGGAGGGATGGTATGTCGGGAGGGCTTGCAAGTTCGCCTGGAGCTTTCCCGGTTAGCGCGGCGGAGGGGAGGTGGAACACGCCCGGCTGGTCCTTCCTCTCCCGCGCCGCGACTCCGGGATGCGCTGAGGTATCCCGGGGCTCTTCTAGCGGACTCGCCGCTGAAGGACGTGGTGTGTCCCGGGGGGGGGGGGTCTGCCGGGTCTGTTAAAACATCTGCTGAGACAGGAGGGTCGGATTACAGCTTCTGGGGAGGATGGTGTTGTTGTCCAGACCTGATGGGGAAAGCTGTGCTAAGAGGGCATCGCTTGGGGGTGTTAAGTGTCTTTCTCAGTTTCCCCAATCCAGCTGCCTATCTTTGGCGGATCCTTTTTTTAATTATTATTGTTGTTGTTGTTGTTGTTTTCTCCTGGTATGAATATTCCCAAGAAAGCTTGCACTGATTGCCTCCTGGTTTGCTTTGGCTGTTCCCCTTCCTTTCTTCAACCCGGCTGCTGCTGCTTCCTTTCCAGTGGCATGAGGAGGTCGCCTGATGTCAGCCCCAGGAGGCTGTCAGACATCAGCCCTCAACTCCGGCAGCTCAAATATCTGGTGGTGGATGAGGCAATCAAAGAGGATATGAAATGGAGGTCCGTGGAAGACCTCACCAGTGCTTCCGTAGGACTCACATCCATCGAGGAAAGGATCCTGCGGATTACAGGCTACTACGGCTATCAGCCTTGGGCTACCAGCTATAAAAGTAAGTGCCTTGTTTCTGCCTTTCTCCTTCACAGCAGCATCCACCATTCCCTCAGCCTCTCTCTTCAACTTTCAGTCAGCTCTCTCTCCTGACAGGTGGAGAGAAAGGCTTAAGTTGATAGTTGGCATTAACCCTGTGAAACCTTACCTGGGACACAAGGCTGGCAATTTACTCTCCTTGAGCTGATTTGCTGCTCACCTTTTCCTCACAAATTCCTTTCTGCCTGGCTGGTTCCTCTGTGTGTGCCATACTTTTGTATGCATGTTTCCGCCCAGGGAGCTGATGGGAGAAACCTTATTCTCTTTCAATGGGCATGCACCATTGTGAGAATATTATGAGTACAGAAATGGCCGGCTAAACTTTCTGATGGTTAAAGAAATACAACAACTATTGTATATAAAATATTCAGACTGAAGAAGAGATTTCAGCTTAAGTTAAGAGGGAGAGAGAAGGAGAGAAGGAGGGGAAAATATTACAAGAAATGATGACTGATGTTTGCATCATTAATTCAAGGAACTGATATTTGATAATTCAGGGAAATGTTTTTACAGCTGGTTAATTTAATTGTTTTCCTCTTCGGATGCAACACATATTGTATTAATCTGCAGAAAGTAAGCTTTTAGTAACTTTATGCTAATTATATTAATTTGAGATCAACATAGAACTTTTGTCTATTTTAGTACCCAAATTGAAATAATATGACTGAATTTTTAAAATGCATTGTGAATTCAAGTTAATTAAGCACAAATTTGTGAGAATGAATTAGATACTTTGTATTTTAAATATAATACTATGCTTAAAAATCATTTTGCTTCATATTTCCAAAGTTTCATAAAAACATTTCTCTGTTATCACAGAGTGCTGATGTTATATGCAGTGTGTGCATGTTTGTGTGTCTACTCTGGCTTTGTATTTTTCCAGTTCTGAGACTTGAATAAGAAAGATACCCAAATCCAACTTTGTGGATGTATGCTTCTGCGTTACAGATGGTACACAATATCAACAATTATTGCCTATGTTTTTATTTTCATTTCCACACCTGTGGGTTCAAGGAAAGAGTTCCCCAGAAGACTAGTTTACCAATTTTGCATCCCATAATTTCCAATTTTTTTATGCAATGTCTTATTCTGTCAAATGAAGAAATATTCATGTTGGGGATTTTATTCAATTTAAATATTTGAAATATTCAGATCTTTGGAAAATGACTTGTGGATTGCAAGAAATTCCAGTATAATATCTATATTGGTTGAGGTTATCTAAAATCTTTGCTACTATTAATGTCATGTAGACACTGAGCTGTATGCCACAGAAACCACAACCCACGTTCTTCTGTATTGTCAAATCTACAGGGACATTCATCACCAGTTGATTACCTCTCTTTTATTTAAATTTCTGAGGTAATCTGATAGTTTTTATCTGCATTATCTATTAAATAATCAAAATAAATGTATTTCTCTAAAAGTAGCAATTTTTTCTACATTAGGTGTAAGCTTTGCCCACAAATGATTGCTAATAGTTCTTGTTATTAGGAAATGGTTGTGTGTTGTTCATTTTATTGATTGCATTTTTATTGGTCAGTGAGCAAAACACAGTTCTGTCTGTTAAGCTCTATGTTCCTATCTTAATTCAACAGCAGATGTTCTCTCCTAAACAAGTATCTATCGGGTGTAATCTACAAAAGGTGTGCAATTTATAAGTTATGACTGTTGGGATTGTTAGAAGAATGCTCACTGGTAATTTATTAAAACTGTATCCTAGAGAGTCTTTTGAGTCTTGAAATAGCTTAGAGTATTGGGATGTAGTCTTAATTATTGCGGTCAATTACTATATTCATCAGAAAAACAGCTATTGTATCATTTTCTAAAGAGACAGAAACTTTGTTCTGTGCAGAGGTGCTCAATACTTGTGTAGACAGGCAGCTGCCCTAATATTGTCTGTTGTGGAACAATGAAAACATAAGTTTTGTGCAACACAGACACATACGTAGATGGAGATGGAGATAGATATAGATATAAATATTCATATTCATTCATTCCACAGTTTATTGTTGAGCCCAAGGTGCATGCTGAAAGAAGGAGAATAGATGGTTCATCTGAGTACAGTGCCAAACCAGAAAAAAAGCAGAGATCAGAAAGGAGAAATTTTTAAAAAATGGATCTTTCAGGACCATGGACAGGTCCCAGGAAAAATACTAATTGCCAGTTGCTGACTAAATTCTTAATTCCTTGATTTGACTGGTCTTGTTGGATTGCTGAAGCCTGCCTATCTTTCTCCATTGCTTCATGCCTAATGTACACCATATTGGTAGTGCAGAGAAGGCCTTCAGTAGCAAGAATGTAGGTTCTTTGGTGGATTCTGGCTTAGAGGTTTTAGGGTCTATGGCTGTTACTGCTAACTGATTACTAAATTCAGTTTCCTAAAGTCCCACTTTCTATTCTTTTCTCTCAGATGGTTTCTGTTTTCTAACTAATCACTGCTAGTTTTGAAAAGTACTAAGAGTTGCAACTGCACTAGTTGATCTTAACTTTCAGGTTGAAATAATCCCACTTTGGCAAAGTTTCTGTGATAAAAAATAGGATAAATAAAATAATGAAAGATGCCAGGCTAATTCCAGAATAAGCCTGTCAGTTTAGTGAAACTTTGGAAATGGCTAGTTTAGAGATCACATATTTCTGTTATGAATTTCTGCACAAATCTTAACCTTCTTAGAACATAGAACTCTATCTAGAAGGCTTTTGTGCTTTGAGAAAATATGAAAAAATATTAAATAATGCTATTTGTTTGTTTGTTTATTACATTTATATCCTATGCATCTCACTAATATTTTAAATAATGTTATAATTATGATGTATTTCCTCTCCCTAAATATTCAGGTATTATTTTATATTACGTATTGCAAGATTTGTTTATTGTGTGCTGTCAATTTTTTTAAAGAGAAAGTAAATCATAATAAGCAAAATTATATATTTTAAAGATCTATTTTCTATTGTTGAAAATATTCAGAAATCCAGGAAGTATCCTAATAGTAATAGAATATATATTCCTGATTACATTCAGCAGCAACATTTTTATTCATAAAATATGAATCCATCAATTCCAGGATTCTGATAATGAAATCGTACTATATGGTCAGTATACAATTCTTTATATACTAAAATATATTTATATCAATATAGTCCTAATAATATTAATAATAAATTTTCCTGGAGTATTCATTTTAGGGTGAGAATATATCTTTATGATTGTTCATTAATAAATTTTTGGATAATTGTGCTCTCTGTTATCTGATAGGAAAGCATTTTTATAATAACACAAAAGAGAGAAGTTGGGTGCATGCTGAGCAGATTTTTAGAATTATTCATAAAGCATCTGCAGTTCATTAGAAATGTTACTGAAAGACACCAGAGAGAATATATTTCTTTGGTAATGTGTTGGCACTTTTTGCTTTGTTAGCAAAAATAACTAGATTGCTGCATACATCTATAGTAATTACTATCTTGCATGCTTTTTTTCTTTCATCTTTAAAATGAGTGATACCTTGTATTATGAATAGCCCTGTTACTCCCATTCAGATAAATATTTTAATTGACTTCTGCTAAATTGGTCATTATGGGAAGGGCAGCTTCAGAAGCAGAGTGTTAATCTGTTGCTCTGACATAATGACTAATTGTCCTATTGCCTTCATGCTGAGTAACTGTAGCTTGTCTTCATGTAATAAGAAAGGTCATGTCAGTGGCACATTTACAGCATGATTCCAGATTGCCAGGGTATTTAATTTGGCCTTGAAAATGAAGGTAACCAAAGCTTAATTGCAATGGGAATTTTTCACAACAGTTTTTCAGATTTCTTGCATTTGTGGAATTTGAGGAAAGTCATAACATTGAGACACATCATACATAATTGATAATTAATTTATCAAGTTTCATTTTGTTCTTGCGGTAATTCTTGGTAAAATCCATTTATTTAGACTATTTATTTATTGCATTTTTATACAGGTAACTCCAAGTTAACTCCCTAAATATTAACATACATTATCAACATGAAATAAAATCAGAGTAAATCAGAGTCAAATACAAAAATGTGAAATTAGGCGAAGTTTACTTAGAAAAAAAAGAAAGAAGATCATATTGATTATTATCTGGCTGAAATAAGAATCAACATTATCAGTGGAGTATTCTCTTTAATACAAAAAGAAAATACAAATAATATAGTGGCAGCTGATATTGTGAAATAGCTGCTTGCAACCTTTTGCTGCTAAGCATAGTATTAACTGTAGATTAGAATCATATTAATGCATCATGTTCTGGTGCCATTTTTTTAACATTTACCTAAGCTTTAATAAAAAATAAATACTGAAAGTAAAGCCATTTTGACTCAGATTGGAAGACTTATCAAATATTAGCATTCTGTCTCCACACTGACCAATTAGATCATTGTAAGTAGGACATGAGAATTTAATTTTTGATCTGACAACATATGAATCTTTTTATAGGTGTAGGCCATGTGCCTCCAGCATTGGTCAGGCTTTGACAAATTTTTAAAATACGTATTATCAGCCAAGAGAAATGATGCTTCCAGAATAACTCTCTCGGCATTGTTGTTGTTGCTAATTGCGAAGTCGTGTCCGACTCATCGCGACCCCATGGACAATGTTCCTCCAGGTCTTCCTGTCCTCTACCATCTTCTGGAGTCCGTTTAAGTTCAGACCTACTGCTTCAGTGACTCCATCCAGCCATCTCATTCTCTGTCGTCCCCTTCTTCTATTGCCTTCAATCTTTCCCAGCATTAGGCCCTTCTCCAGTGAGTCCTTCCTTCTCAATAGGTGGCCAAAGTATTTGAGTTTCAACTTCAGGATCTGGCATTACCAATTAACTAAAAGATAAATGGAAATTCAATAAAGAGTATCACCCAATATGTTAGGGTCTTTTTACTAGGAAGTAGAACTTATCAATAAGCTTTAGAAGTAAAAATATTTAAAATGTATTAATGGATAGATAATT